AGGGGCGGGGGTGTTTTGGCGGCAGCGAGGGTCGGGTAGCCCCTCAGCAGGGGTCCAAGGGTGAAACCCTAACCCCGACTTGGGTCCCGAGGATTCCCGCATGACAACGCTGGATCCAACTATGCGTCTGATGCAACATTTAAATCACCTGCCATAATAATTAGGATCCAATGGGGATTTGTGACCGAATGTCCTAAAAAAACTTAGCCCGCTCCTACACCTCATTTGGGGCGTAGACATTGATCACACACACAACTTTTAACTCAAGCATTTCAATAGCACAGCCCCATCGTCCCTGTCTATGTCCAATTGTATCAATTCAACGCTTAAACCTAGGGAAACCAAGATGACTACCCCACCTGATCCGCTATATGGGCCATGAGCACATATTTTATGAAAGGGCCATATAATATTATGAGTCCAGGTATGCGCGGGGGAGCCGGTTAAATGAGTATCTAGTATGCACACCGGGTCCAACCATGAATGCCCACCTACTCCTTTAAGTTGTTCTACAATCATCTTCCTTTTTAAAGCATTTGATGTAGCCAGACCATTATCATGTAGAAAACGAAGATCAAGGTTTGTTGAACGGGTCGCTTGCGACTAGAAGGGGTTGAACTTCTTAACATACTACGCTTGGAGTGCCTCCATTGAAGTGCCAATTCACTTGTATACCCCTCACATTTGGCTTATAAAAGCGCACCCAATTATTATTATCTAACTCAGAGGAATTATGCAAAACGCCTCTGCGTACTATTGACCACAAAGGTCACCACCCTAGCTACTGAGCAAACAAAATTTGCTTTGATTTGAGATTTTATAGGTCTAGTAGGGTTGAGTGGGAATAGCATTTTAGCCCTGCCTCCTTATGCTCTTCAAACCGTACAATACTATCTCTCTTAGGCATATGGGTTTTGTTCCCTATTTCTGTAAGTGTCGCCTGAGGCCCTGGGTCATAATGTTTGGATAGGAAATCATGCAAGTTCTGCCTTAATGTTTTGTCACTTACAGTTTGATACTCAACATAAGTGAACCACCCCCGCAGCATCACACACCCATATTCATCTTGTCCTATCGGTAAATGACCCACTTACCACTTGCCCCCCTCCTACATAGAGGCATAATCAGATTTCCTTTTGGAACCTGCGGTCTTACCGCATGTCCCTTTTCCAACTTATGTCTCAATTTTTGTTGCTTACCTATTTCCGAAGACAAAGTCGTTGGAAACGAGACCAACCCCTCCGGTCTCTATGGCTACTGCTTAGACTGTTGTTTCTGCAACTTTAATAATTGTTGTTGTTGTTGTTGTTGTTGTTGTTGTTGTTGCCATAACTGCAATTGCTGCCCATCTAACTTTGACTGCCCGAAAACACCCGGACCACTACTATGAGCCCAAAGAAAACAATTGGGGGGTATTTTCATTATACGTCGGGCCCTACCTAAGGCAGTTTCCCCTGGGCCCTACCAAACTATTGGCCTAGCGTGGCATGAAGATAACCCCCGATCGTTTTCCCAGGGGCATGGTATTGGTCTGGGTTTTTTCGGGCGCTCAAAACCAAAAAGTTTTCCGTATGGCCGCATTCCACCAATTATTTTTTTTGCTTTTATATTTTGTTGTGTGCTGCACTTATCCCCAACTACCACACGCCAACAATGCCAATGTGAGTCATACCCCATTCAACCACATGCAATACAAAGGCATAGAGAATAAATTACAAAATCTGATGTGAAGAAAGATAGTGATAGGATGCCCACCTATTCCATCTTTGAGAAAAGACGGCTTGAAGTTCTCCGCTGCAGTAAGGAACCTCTCGTACATAAGACATCCTCTCTTCAAGTAGGGATTGGGACTATGGTCTTCAAGAGTCAAAGAAATCATTTTCCTCCTTAACTCTTTGTCCAAAAAACTGTCACTACAGATATGCTCAATGGCATTGATGAGAAACTTCACAGCCAGTACAAAGCAGAAAGAAAACCAAGAGTATCAGTGCAATAATTTACAGCTTACTTCTCATCCCCTTTATCAGCGTCTGGGATCTGGTTGTCGTGGCAGACTGCTTAATAAGATATGCAACCTACACCACATGACATCTCCATTGCAGGTCATCTCATAACATTTTAATTTTTTTTTTTTTTTTGGCCCGGCCGGGCAAGTGAACCCAGACCACTCTGGTGGCTTAACATTTATAAAAAAAAAATGTTTTTTTTTCTTGATTGATTCATTGATTGATTGGTTGATTGTCGAGGGGTCGCTCACCCCCCACGTGAGCACATACACACACACAAACACACACAGCCTGTGTTTGTGCTTTCTTTCTGTTTTCAATTTTTTTTCGTTTTTTAATTGATTGACTAATTTATTGATTTATTGATTAAGTAATTCGTTGATTGGAACCGTCGGAGAGTGGAAGTCTAATATTGAACATTTATATAGGTATTGAAAACTTGAACTCCCTCCCCCCCTAAACAAACACAAAGAAGAATAACCAAGGGCCGTTTCAAAATTTTCAGCATTTTCACAACTTCAAAGGTTTAAAAATCGTCAAAGTAGATATGCATCTAGACTAGGCTACCAGAGTGGCCCAGGGTCACTTGCCCGGCCGGGCAAAAAAAA